AGCTTGCTGCTTGGGGATGTGTGGATTCCAACCTTCCTGGGAACTGGATTGGATTCTCCTGGGGAGGTATTGAACTGTATTGGTTACGTTCTTCGACAGGACCTACCCTGATACTTTGGAGGATAGAACGATCAGACTGCTCAGACCAACCTTTATTGCCCCTGTTTCTTGTGGGGTGCTGATAGTTGTTGGCGGACAAACCTTCTTCTGGTAGACAGATGGCAGGACATAGTCGTACGCTTTAATCCCTAACTTTTGCCTGGACCGCCCTTTCGGGTTTTCAGTCCACCGGGATACCCATTTTTGCCCAAGCCGCCTTTTCAGGTTTTCGACTTGCCGGGTGTACGGATTTTTCATTTCATCCCTTCTTTTTTGCCCGAACCCTTTTGGTTCGTCGGGAAGCCCTTATTTTTTCCTAGGCGTGTCAACCTAGCGAGTCTTTGATTTTGCGTAGTATCTTTTTGACTATGTCCGTGCTTTCAGAATGTAGGTAGGTGCCCCTGGCTGCTTGTGTTGCCATTTTACCAGAAGGTGTCTGATCAGGCAAGATTCGTTGTTGGAGTGCCCCCGAATGACTTAGGCAGAGATTTGCCCCAGGCTTTTTGGCCTTTTGAGAGATTCTCTGACTCTTGACTTAACTGCCCCAGATGACGGACAATAGTTATGCCATGCCCCTTGATTGGAAGTACTCTGTTTATTAGACTTTCGTCGTGCGAAGTTCCTTGCTGTTCAAACAAAAAGTCATACGCAAACAAAGTTATGTTAAAAATGCCAAGCTTATGTCTGTCTTGAAGATTTTGAAAATGCATTCTTTTTCATAAAACAAGTGATTGTTTGTAAAACGTGATGTCAACTCGTTATTTATCGTAGCCTTAAGGAGTCAGGATACCTTCGTAACAGTATGCTTTCGAACTAACCCATGCTTCAGCTAGGACTTTTGAGGGTTATAACGTGGCCTGGTTCACGGTTTAAGAAACAAAGGATAAAGGCTCAAAGTATTTGTACCCACCCGCTCTTCGTGATATTCTCCAAACCTAAACTCAGTTGATCATACGTTAGACCTTGCTTAAGTCTTTGCTTTGATGTTCCAATAATGGTTCAGATGTTGATGATTTATTCTGACTAGGCAGTCATTTTTTGTTTTTGTTGAGGGTTTGTGAGACCTCTTGCTTTTTGATTTTTGTTATCCCTTTCTTTTTTTTTTGCCTGAACTGTTTCCTTTTTTGGAATTACAGTCAGCGGGATGCCCCAGTTTCATAAGTCCCCTTTGTAGGTTTAGACTTTTTGGGCTTTTCATTTATGAATTTTGATGATGACTGTCTGTCCTTTTGATTGTTCTGAACCATTACTGTCTTTGCTTGTTTCGTAAAGATCTCTTCAGTGCCATTCGTCATGCACTTGGATCAACTGAGAGAACTACCCTGCCCCAGGTTATGATTAAGGGTTTTGATTTTCGAAAATAAAAACTCCTACTTCTTTGGCTCTGATGGGTTGACGAGGGATTATCTTCCTTATTACTCCAGTGTTTAGGAATTGAAACAATGCATGTACCTCATCAGCGGGGTCTGTTCAAAAGCATACTGTAGATCATGGTATCGTTTTCGTCATCCTCCCTCAAGAGGCTCAGAGTTATTAACCGAGAGTTGACATCAGAAAAAATATGAAAAGAATATAACAAAAATAATTGTATTAATTCCCCAAAACAGACATATGCGATGCATTGATAGAATAAAAGAGTTTGCTATGACATTAATTGTTTGTATAAGCAAAGAAAAATACAACTCAAAAATTCAAATAAACAACAGGCTTCAATGATTGGGCAATGGAGCAGTGATTATGTTCGGAGTCTCTGGCACTTCAAACTGAATCTCTCCAGCGTCGATCATATCCTGAATCTTGTTCTTGAGAGGCCAGCAGTTGTCTGTAGTATGCCCCGGGCTATCAGAATGATACGCGCACCTATCGTTGGGATGATAGTTGGGAGCAGAAGTGTTCGGATTCCGAAGAGGAGCCCTTAAGGTGATCAGCCCTGCCTTCAACATTTGTTGCAGTGCTTGATCCAACGACATGTTGAGTTTGGTGTACTGCCGTTTCTCTTTGCGCTGCTGCCCCTGTCCTTGTTGAGCAGGTCCGGGATTGGAAATCTGGATTGCCCCTGCCTCATGACGGCTCTTTTTACCGTGCACAGCATTGGATTCTTTCTTTCCATGATGAGGTTTTTTATCAGAAGGTGCAGCCTCTTGAATTTTCCCAGACCGGATGCCAGCTTCCATTCGCTCTCCAGTCAAGATAAGATCTGTGAATCCAGCAGACGAATTCCCAATTAGGTGGTTGTAGAATGGGCCAGACAAGGTCCCCAAGAACATATCGACAAGTTCCCGATCAGTCAGAGGTGGTTGTACCCTTCCAGCAAGATCCCTCCATTTCTGCGCATATTCTTTAAAACCTTCACTTGATCCTAACGACATACCCTGGAGTTGGGTACGCGTAGGAGCAAGGTCGGCATTGTACTGGTACTGCTTATAGAAAGCAGTAGCCAACTCCTCCCAGTTACGAACTTTGGTCCCATCCAGCTGATAGAACCATTCGAGATGAGTCCCTGAAAGACTCTCCTGGAAGAAATGGATCCATAAATTCTTGTCCACCGTATATGGCTGAATCTTCCGAACATAGGACCTTAGATGCAGCTTGGGGCAAGACGCCCCGTCATACTTAGTGAAGGTTGGTGCTTTGAACTTCCGAGGGATAACCACACCAGTTGACAAACCCAAATCTCCCAGATCCAGCCCAGGTGCCTGTTGCACCTCCATAGCCTTCAACCTGTCCTCCAGTTGTTTGTACTTGTCTTCAGCCGGAGGGTACTGTTCGTCGTCGAAATTTGTTTCATTGTCAGAGACCTCTGGACTGGGCACCCTTTCCTCTTGATGACTGCTTTTTCCCACAGATGGGGTTGTCCTCTCAGTTTCAATTTGCGGTGTATTCCCAGATCTGCGTCTAGGGCTGAACAGAACAGTCCTCTTTTTCTTCTTGTCCTTCTTCAAGAGCAGAGCTTTCAGATCTCGTTGCCCCTGAGTCAAATTCATGATCAGCTCTTGGAACTGGGCGTTCTGAGCCTGGAGGTCCTTGATAGTCTGCTCGGCTGCTGATTCAGGATTCATGACGATCGGCTGAAATAAACAGCGGAGAAGGGTAAGCAACCTGTCAAAGGGACACCTGCAATGCAATGAGATGTATGACATGCATGTAATGTTTTCAAGGACCTCGCGGGGTAAACAGAAAATTTGTTAGCATTTGGAACCGGTAGCTTGATTGTAAGAACTTCATTTTGTTGAGAGTCCTTCATCAAGGGTCAAAGGCTCACCATATCCAGTGGGTCATAGCCCCTGACAACCCTGGCTAGAGGAAAATAAATCCTCTTTGCCCCTGACTAGACGTTTGATTTATCATGACCTGCATCACAAGCCCTTGAGATCCTTGAAATGGGTTAGGATGTATGCAATGGTATGATGTCATGCTATGCATGGGGTGATGTAGGTAAACCCTGTTATGAGTCCCAATTAAGGACTATAAACAGCCCCTGCAAGAAATTCAATATACTTTGTTATGAGTCCCAATTAAGGACTATAAACAGCCCCTGCAAGAAATTCAGTATACTTTGTTATGAGTCCCAATTAAGGGCTATAAACAAAACCTGCAAGAGATCTAGTAAACCCTGTTATGAGTCCTAGTTAAGGACTATAAACAAAATCTGCATGAAATTTGGTAAACCCTGTCATGAGTCCTGGTTAAAGACTATAAACAAGACCTGCAAGAAACTTAGTACCCTGTTATGAGTCCCTATTAAGGACTATAAACAAGACCTGCAAGGAACCTAAGTAAAACCTGTCATGAGTCCCAATTAAGGACTATAGACAGAACCTGCAAGTGGTTAGTACACCCTGTTATAAGTCCCAATTGAGGACTATGAACAAAACCTGCAAGACATCAAGGGTCAGATAACAAGCATACAAGTAGTCAAGTACGAAGGCACGCAAGTCACACAAGAGAAACCCTTAGGGTTTAGGCCAGCATGAGGTCTAGGTATTATCCTCTTGAAGTTGGTGGGTTCAACCTGTCCTATTAGAAGTAACCGGGTTCTAAGGTTCCCAATATCATGGGGTTGCTTTCATTGTTCATCGTTTCGATTTAGCCACTGAACTGGCGACCGAAATATTCCAGGAAAGCAACCCTCAATTGAGCGTAGTATCGAGTATCAACCGACCTCGGACTGCACCAAAGTCAGTTATCTCACTACCCTAAAGAGGCCAAGATAGTTCAATTAAGGTTCCTAAGGTCTGTTGATGCTTCACGACACCACGCGGAGGCCCCGTACTCTCCTTGACTGAACTCAAGGGTTACCGGTACACACCAAAGTGCCACATCAACGTAGCAGACTGTTTCAACCATGTCGGTATACCCCGCACAGTTCCCTCACAGCCTTGTTGCTACTTTCTAAGAAGGTATCCCCAGATCCGGGTTAGGATCTATAGAACTCCCAAGCAACCCACAATAATAAAGCAAGCAAGGAAAGCAATTGAAAACACAGTGATCTTAGTCCTAAGGTACACCTCACTTTAAGTTTAAGTCCCCAGCAGAGTCGCCAGTTCTGTGATCGGTGGATCTGGAACTGACTGTTTAACGCTGGTTCGCGAAATGTCGCGGAAGCAAGAGTCGCCACCGTCTTTTATTTTCTCCAAATGGAAAGGACAAAAGCACAGAAAAATTCCTTATAGAGATTGCTCTCGGTTCGGGAGGTAGGTTATAGAAAGGGAAGGTGTTAGCACCCTTTCTATCCATGGTTATCCATGGGCTCTTAGATACTTGCTCAATGTGTTTTCAAAAATGTTTGTTTGCTTTTCAATGTGGGTTTAAAAAGATTCTTTGAAAAATTTCAGTTCGACTCATACGTCAGAGTGTTTGAAAAATTTGCTTTGAAAGCTTTTGAAAAGTGTCAGTGAAAAGATGTTTTGATTTGTTTGAGATTAGAGCAAGTATCCTTGAGAACCTACCTACCCTAAGGAATTCGTCCGTGTAAATGTCCTTTAAAGTAGTGCCATCCCACCATTGAGAGGTAGGTAGCACCACTGTTGGAGGTGTTCGTGTCAATTCGAGTTTTAGGGACGTGGTGATCACCAGAGCAATGGGAAGACACCTTAGAAGCTACCCTCATGCCAGGTTCCCGGATCATGAGGACTTACTAAGACGTCCTCTACTCGACGATCACCTTTCGAAAGGCAACAGTGAGGCGTACCCTAGGGGTGGTGTGTGCGAATTGTGTGTCACGTTTCAGTTATTTGTCTTGTCATGTTTGTTATGCTCTACGCTTGATTTTAATTAAGGCCATTCATTCTTGCATGCTTTTTAACAGTTATAAAGTTTGCGGAAAAATAAATCTACAGCTATTACAAATGGCGCGGGTCCACATCGCCAAAATAAACCGGACCCGATTTGACAGAAAATAAATAAAGCAAAGTAAAGTGCGAAATAAAATAATTAAAACAATGGGCGTTGGACCCTTTTGCAAAAATTTTAAGTTACATGAATTAATTAAATAAAGAGGAATTAAAATTAAAATTAAGAAGAAAAATGTTTTTAGGTATTTTTATGTTTTTTTGGATTTAATGGAAGAGAATTATTAATTAAAATTAAAATAAAGAGTTAAACCCTAGTTCTAACTATTTTTTAGTTATTAAGAAAATATTGAAATTTTTAATTAAATAAAACCCTAAAATTTTTTATATACAATTTAATCATAAAAAATAAATAAATAATTAATTATTACTGTGAAAAAAAAGGAAAAAAATTAAAAAAAAGGAAAAAAAAAGTGTTTATTAACCTAATTCTATATTTTTTACATTTTTGTTAAAAGGAATTACACTTATAACCTAATTTACTAAATTATTTACATGCTAATTTGAAAATAATCACAATAAAATAAATATTATATTTTTTTGTATTTTCTGTATCTTTTGATATTTTAATATTTTGTAGAAAAAGATAATTAACTAAATAAAAAAAAATAAAATAACAATCAGAAATAAAATAATAAAAAAGAAAGGAAGCAAACCAGGGGGGGTGTAACCCCAGATTAGGAGGTGGAGGCCCTAGGATTTTGGCCCATTTGCTGGAAATCTCATTGACTTTCCCAATCACGTATGGCGCATTTGACCAGGATTTATGTGTTCCTCAGATTCTTGGCCATTGATCTAACGTTGGAATGGACGTGGCATGCTTGATTATGCTGGTGCATGGTGTACTTCAAAGCTGGACCTGCATGGGAATTAGTATAGAAAAATAATATGGAATTATTCAGACCTGGGACTCGAACCCAGGTCTTGGAGATTGTGCGCATAGGGACTTGCCACTGAGCCATGTGAATCATATTTAATATATAACAAGTGACAATTAATAAAAGAGAAAGTGGGAGTTAGTGCTTGGAGCGCGCGCAAAATTTGAAACAGCCACTCAGATGGTGCCATGTACTCGTCTTCTTCGCGTTTCTTTCTGCCTGAAAAAAATAACAAACGTTTAACGGGGGTTTTGAACCCCCTCAATATATGCGTGTTTCCAAAATAGCGATTAGGTCCTGAATGCTCATAAATTGAGCGCGAACATCCTATCTTCTTCGTCTCAACCTGTAGATTTCAGTCATAGCATTGGTACGTCTTAATTTTATAAGAATTGAGAACGCCCAATTTGAAAATTTCGGAACCCTAGGCATCTCTAATGGTGAATTGGCATATAGGGCATGAAACCTTAATTAAACCATACAGTTAGTTTGTAAACATCACTCTGAGTATAAAAATAGCAATAGAATATGTTAAAGATGCATGGATAATGGGAAGCAATTTCGAAATTTCTTTTACCAACTTTAACAGCAACCTTGCGTTTCTTTAAGTATGGGACCTGGAGAACGATTCAGTTAGCTTCAGGGGAACCAAAGGAAGCTATTGCGATCAATCTTATGCCTTGAATCAACCTAGAACCTGCTTTTCAGTTTTGAACTTTTTGAGAATTTTTGCAAGTTTGTAATGGCTTCTTGGGCGCAGCTTCCAGTCTTTTGCCATTAGGTTTTCCATCCTGCATATGTAGTGATCATTTTAGGTTAACAAAATTCCACAAAATCTCTTGTATTCAATGGTTTCAAGATTTGATTTTACAAGATATTTTTGAATCTTTTTTTCATGTGTAATTTTGTTCAATCATGCCAAATCACACCAAATCTTGCCATATTGGGATGTGCACGTGATATTGAGAGTAGAATGTGCACAAAAAGATTTTTTAGGTCAAGTTTGATATTTTTCACATATTTAAGTAATTTAAATGAATTAATATTAATATAAATCCAAATAAATAATTAAAAATTGAGAAAATAATTCCCCTTGGGCTTAATGGTCGTGCATAGGCTTGGCATGAAGAAACTTGGAAGAAAAATGGGCCCATTTGCATTTTTGGATCATTTGAACCATTGTTGACTTTTCAAAATTCCCAAAAATTTCCCAACTTCCACAAGGCATAACTTGGTCAATTTTTAAGCTTTTCACATGTTCTTGGACATTTTGGAAAGGTCTTTGAGTCCTTTAACCAATGCCTTTGGTCCCATGTCATTTTGATTTACCAATCTCAAGTTATGGCCTTTGACTTAAAGTCCCTTTTTGTTGACTTTTGAAAATGACCTATAATGTTGAAATTGATAACTTTTTGTGAGAGCATTTCTTGGACTTGGAATATGAAGATGAGTTGTAGGAAATGTCCTTCTCTTCAAAATGAGCTTTGGATGGAATTTTTCTGATAATCCATGTGAAAGTTATGCCCTGGTCAATTTCAGTTGACTTTTTCAGCTGTCCAAATATAGCAACTTTTGCATCTTTGATGATTTCTGAGCCAAATTTTGAGAATCATGATCAAGCATTGATCAAATGATGTTTGTGGCTTCAAAATGATATGTTGGCCAAAAATTTGAACTTTTGACTGTCAAATGACCATTTTGCCCCTACAGTTGACTGTAGTGCAATCTAGGGGTTTGACTGTGCAATTTTGAGCTGAACGTCTTGAAACTTGACATGAGGATACTTGACCATCTTTGTAAGCATATGAGACTTGATTGGGCCTTTGAAAACTTCCTTTTCTTGATCAGAACACAAACCCTAGTTTTGACTGTATAGGAGACAGTTGAATTGCATAACCCTTGGGGAATTTTGTGACCTTGACTTGACAAATCTTGGAGAATATGGGAGGGCAAATTTTGGGGTGCAACAGATGTCATACTCAGTTAAGATCATCTGCCATCTTGCTATTCTTCCGGACAAGGAGGGATTTTCGAAGATATACTTGATTGGATCCATCTTTGATATCAATAGGGTAGTGTGAGTCAGCATATACTGTCTCAGCCGGCGAGCAACCCATGCCAAAGCACAACAAGTTTTCTCAAGCAGTGATTATCGGGTCTCACAGTCGGTAAATTTTTTGCTAAGGTAGTAAATAGCATGCTCTTTTCGGCCAGACTCGTCATGCTGCCCTAGCACGCACCCCATCGAATTGTCGAGTACTGTCAAGTATAAGATCAAAGGTCGTCCTTCAACTGGAGGCATCAGAATATGAGGCTCTTGGAGATATTCCTTGATCCTTTCGAAAGCGTCCTGACATTCATCATTCCATTTTACCACTTGATCTTTCTTCAGCAGCTTGAAGATTGGTTCACAAGTGTGAAATGAATCGGGCAATGTAGTTCAGACGTCCCAAAAAGCCTCTGACTTATTTTTCCGTTTGGGGAGTTGGCATTTCCTGTATAGCCTTTACCTTGGCAGGATCCACTTGAGTACCTTTATCACTAACAACGAACCCCAGCAGCTTACCGGACCTTACCCCGAAGGTGCACTTGTTCGGGTTTAGCCTCAGCTTGTACATATTAAACCTGTCGAATAGTTTCTGGAGATGGTAAAGATGTTCTTCTTCAGTCTGGGATCTTGCAATCATGTCGTCAACGTATACCTCAATCTCATGGTGAATCATGTCGTGGAACAAAGCGACCATGGCATGCTGATACGTTGCCCCAACATTCTTCAATCCGAACGACATAACCTTGTAGAAAAAGGTACCCCACTGTGTAACGAAGGTCGTTTTCTCCATGTCCCCGTGAGCCATCTTAATCTGATTGTAACCAGAAAAACCATCCATAAAGGAGAAGATCTTATGCTGCGCGGTGTTGTCAATCAGAACATCGATATGAGGCAGAGGGAAATCATCCTTGGGGCTCGCCCTGTTCAGATCTCTATAGTCCACACACATTCGTACCTTACCATCTTTCTTCGGCACAGGGACCACGTTGGCAACCCACTGCGGGTAAGAAGTAACTGCTAGAAAACCGGCATCAAACTGTTTCATGACCTCAGCTTTGATTTTCTCAGACATCTCTGGGCGCATGCGGCGAACTTTCTGCTTCACCGGAGGACATACTTCTTTATTTGGCAAGCGGTGTACCACAATATCAGTATCCAACCCAGGCATATATTCATAAGACCAAGCGAAGATCTCAACATAGTCGCACAACATCTGTATCAACCGTTTCTTGACACTAGGCTCCAGATTCGCACCGATCTTGACCTCTTTCTTGTCTTCTTCTGTACCCAAGTTCATTGATCCCACTGGATCTTCATTGGGCTGTATGGCCCTCTCTTCCTGTAGTAACAGTCTAGCAAGTTCCCTAGACACTTTACAATCATCCCCACCTTCGTCCTCGGCTTGGTTGATCGGACTTTCGAAGTCATAACTGGCAGTAGCAGAGTCGTTATCAGTGGGATCCAGAGTGGATGTGAATCTGCATTATGGTATGTGAGTGTGTGTAAGAAAATAGCTGTTTTGATAAAGTGCAAGATAGAAAAGAAAAACAAGGAGCGCAAAATCTGTAATGCAAGAAAACGTCCAATGCTTTATTGATGATATAAGAAAATGACAAATAATAAGCCCTCACAAACAAAGCCAAGATGCCTCGGGCAAGGCATCGAGCTGTAAAGTTTCAAATTGTCTGTTACAAATCTCAAAACAAAAGTCTATTACTGTGTAATAAAAGAAACGGGCACGAAGTCCTTCGCCATCCAATTGTTCAATCCATCATTGGTAGTCGGGTAAATCCAGCTTTCGAACTCTGACTCTTCTTCATCGTCTTCAATTGCATTCACTCCCGGATTACTGATGCACAAAGGAGGTCTTCCAATCCGCGCGCACCGAAGAGCCCTTTGAGCCTCTGCAGTAAAGCCCAAACCAAACTTGTCAATTTTGTGTGTGAAGTCAGGGAGTTGACCCCAATTTGCACACCCACCTTTTTCAATAACAGCCCTAGCATCCTTGAGGGAAGCCATCTTCATCGGAGGTCCTTCAACAGTAACTTCAGTCGATGCCAGAGTCTGGGGGACCTCTTCCAAGTTCTGATACGGGGTTTCGATGAATTCCCCATCCATCTCCACATACCGAAAGGAGTTAAGATGACTCACCATGTACTCCTCTTCTCCTCGTACTGTAACAATCTTCCCCTTCACTGGATATTTCAACATCTGATGGAGCATAGAAGTCACTGCCCCAGCCTTATGAATCCACGGGCGACCCAACAAACAAGAATAAGATGGTCGGATGTCCATCACATAGAACGTAGATGCAAAAGTCTGAGAGCCAACTTTAATGGGAACATCCACCTCTCTGTGCACCATCCTTTTGGACCCATCAAAGGCCCTAACCACAATATTACTTGGCTTTAGAACCAGCCATTCACAGTCCAACCGATCTAACGCTTTCTTGGGTAAAACGTTCAATGAGGACCCAATATCTACCAGTACATGGGCCAGAGTAGTGCCCATGCACTCGATCAAGACATGCAGGGCATCATTGTGATTTCTTCCTTTAGCAGTCATATCTGCATCGGAGAAACCCAACCCGTTGTCAACAGTCAAACTAGCTACACAATCTTTGAATTGATCAGCAGATGTTTCCTGCGGCACATGCACAATTTTAAGGAAAGCAATTAAAGCCTTTGCATGGGCTTCCGAGCACAACAATAAGGATAACATGGAGATCTTCGACGGGGTCTGCCCCAGCTATTTGACTACAATGTAGTTGCTCTTCTTGATAATCTTCAGAATTTCCTCTATCTCTTGCCTAGAGGTTTCTACAACAATCTTCTTAGGTGCCTCCGTCCGGGCAGGCTCACCTATGACTTCTTTGCCCCGAATTTCATATGGCTCGGCGACAGGGGTGATAATTGGAATATGAACCGGGGCAGTAGCTGATGTACTGGCAGATGGAATGGCAACAGGCTTTTGAACAGTCGGAGGGGAAATTTCAGGAGAGAAGAGTCTTCTGCTTCGGGTGACCTTGCTAGCCTCGACAATATTGCTGACATCAGTATCAGCTTCTTCAACCTTTAAATCTTGTTTGATCCCATGACAATACACATCGGCCCCATAGTGCCACGGGACAGCCTTATCCGAAGTGTATGGGATAGGACCAAGAACAGTAATGATTAATGGAGCAACTCTCGGAATGGATGTAATCCTAACAGGCTTTCTCGAGGAAGCCTTGGAAGGATTGGCAGAAATGGTTATGATGGAAACATCTTTAACAGGAATCAACAGAATCAAAGTTTTCTCGAACATGATCTCTTTCTTATCCATCAGGCGTTGAACACCTGATTTCAATAAATGGCAACCAGCAGGCAGGATTGAACATATGTGGCAACTTTCGCCACAGCCTGGAAATAATCCGGCCGATAATAGGTTCTTCTTTACTGTCATCAATGGAGTAGAAATGTCTTCCACAGAGGTTACAAATGAATCATCGTCCACAGCATTTACTCCATGCTTGGGCATAGGAGCAGTCATAACATTGGGCTTCTCTGGAGCATCAAACTCGATCTCTTTAACTTCAATCAAATCTTGCACCTTATTCCTCAAGGTCCAGCAGTTGTTTGTATCATGCCCTAGGCTATCGGAGTGATAGGCACAGCAGGCGTTCGGATTATACAACAGAGATGTGGTGCTGGGATTCTTCGAGGCTTCCCTCAGAGTTATCAAGTTGGTCTTCAACAATTGCGGTAGAATTTGAGATAAGGTCATACTGAGCCGAGTATACTATCTTTGCGGTCTCTCTATTCTTTGCTGATTGTTTCATTATGGGCAAACATTGGGTCTTGATATCACTACCGCATTAACTGCTTGGCGGCGTTCAAGTCAGTTTTGGCTCCTTGAGCTGTAAACTGCACTAGCTTCTTTTCTGAAAGGCTTCTTTTATGTACTTGATGATGCACCTTTCTGTATCTTGCCACTTCTGATACCAGCCTCTACTCTCTCCCTAGTCAAAATCAATTCAGTGAACCCAGATGATGAACTACTGATCAAATGATTAAAAAACGGACCAGACAAAGTCCCAAGAAACATATCCACCAACTCCCTATCAGACAGAGGGGGTTGGACTCTTCCATCCAGATCTCTCCACTTCTAAGCATAGTCCTTAAAGCCTTCGCCTGTACCCATAGACATACCCTGAAGTTGATTACGCGTGGGAGCAAGGTCGGTGTTATACTGGTATTGCTTGTAAAAAGCAGCAGCAAGGTCCTCCCAGTTGTGGACATTAGCTCATTCCAATTGATAAAACCATTCAAGCTGAGTCCCTGACAGACTATCTTGAAAGAAATGAACCCACAGGTTTCTATCAGCAGTGTAGGGTTGGATTTTTCTGACGTACGAGCAGAGGTGGAGCTTTGGACAGGATACTCCATCGTACTTAGCAAAAATAAGAGCTTTGAATTTGTGAGGGATTACCATCCCAGATGCTAATCCCAGATCTCCAAAGTCCAACCTAGGGATCTTCTGAATCTCCATGGCACTCAGACGATCTTCAAGTTGCTTGTACCTATCCTCAGCAGGAGGATACTGTTCTTCATCAAAATTAGTGTCATTATCAGAGACCACAGGACTAGGACCCTTCTCTTCCTCTTGATTCTCTCCTTTTTTAGATGAATGAGACAAATCAGTTTCCTGTCGCAACCTATTCCCAAATCTGTGAGCCATATTCAGGAGGACCACCTTCTTCTTCTTCTTTTTCTTCTCCTTCATGATGAGAGTCTTCAAATCTTCCTGCCCTTTAGCCAAGTTCAGGAACATTTCTTTGAATTGAGCATTTTGTGCTTGAAGAGCCTTGATGGCTTGATCGGTAGGTATTTCAGAAGACATTCTGTGCTGAAATAAACAGCGAAGAAAATGAGAAACCTGTAATGATACCTGTAATGAGGTGCATGATAATGGAATGCGTATGAAATGATTTCAAAGACTTTGGGAGATTTAAATTTGCAAACCAAGAAATAAACAAACTTTATTAGATTCAAACTTGTAAAATGTTTAACAATGCCTTTAAGGCGTTACAAAGGAAATAAACTGAAAATAACTCTAAACTAGAAATAAGCAAAAATCAGAAATCCCATGGTCGCTTTCCATTCATGCTGACATAGTCATTGATCATCCTCTCATTCTCAAGTTGCCCCGTGAGCTTCAAGATCTTCCTCTCTTGCTCATGATATTTCTCCCTGTAAGTATCCCTCTCTTCCTTCAGCTGAATCCAGGATCTCTTTAATTCCCCAAGATCAGTAGGCATGTAAGGATAAAGGACTGTATAAGGAACACCTTCTTCATCAGTATGCTCCATAATCACTGGCAACACAGCTTCATAAGGTATCCCAAGCTTCTGAGCGCGGGCTCGAACCCACTAGAGATAGGGTTGCATAGGGAGAGAAGTATTTGGTCCTAGCTCGTGAGGGTCAGACCTGTTCACCATGCCCCAGGCTCGTATAAACCTTCGGCGATGCTTTTCGACGTCCTCCTTGTAGTCAAAGACAATGTATGCAAGAAGTAGCTCATGAGGACCCTCTCTCCGAGCGCGACCGAACTGTCGTAAAGCCAAACAAGGACTGTAGGTTATTCCCCCTCTAATTCCAAGCAACGGAACATTAGGGTATTCCTCACATAGATCAATGATATAAACACCTTCCATATCCTTTGAACTCCAAAGAATGTCCGTGTGAGCAAGGGACATTATCCTGTAGGACCATCCCGAACCTTCCTCATTCTTCAACACAGACTTGGGGAGGTGCGAAATAAACCACCTCGCCAACAGCGGCATGCAACACATAAGGGTCCCTCTTCTACGCGCCATACGAGTATAAAGAGCATGCAAAATATCACCCAAGAGGGTAGGCACGGGATTGCGAGACAAGAAGATCTTAACCGTGTTCACATCTATGAAGGAATCTGGATTTGGGAAAAGAACCAAACCATAGATGAGGAGAGCTAAGATGTCTTCAAAAGCCTGAAAGTCCAAACTGTCCCAGAATAGTTGAGCTTGATCCATCAGAAACTTAGCCAAGAAACCTTTAACCCCGCTTCGTGTCTCCCAATTAGACACTACATCAGCCTTTTTCAGGTGTAAAGCTGAAGCAATGTCTTCTGGCCTAGGAGTTTCTTCCAAACTTTTGAAGGGCATCTGCTCGAGGATGGATATTCCCAACAAATAAGAAAACTCTTCCGAAGTGGGAACTAGCTGATAATCCGGGAAAGTGAAGCAATGATGCACTGGATCGAAGAACTGGAAGAGCACACTCATCATTTACTCATCAAACCTGGAGGTAACCAAACTAAGAAGCTGACCATGTCTTCTAATGAATGAAGAAGTATCAGAAATTCTCGAGGCTAAGTCTTTGAGTTGATCAGGTATTTGCACAAAGTTAACTCGGATGGTGTGTCTGCGCATGAAAGTCATGATCTGCAAAACAGAACAAAGATAAATCCCCTCGATCTTTGAAATGGTTAGTCTAATGAAATATGCATGCTATGTTATGATGCATGATGTCATGATAAAAACACGCAACAAGTATAGCAGGTAACAGACATGGTAAAGGCACACAAGTCACACAATAGCCCTTAAGTTTCAAGCTTGCATGGGGTCTAGGTATTACCCTCTTGAAGTTCAATTGGTTTCAACCTGTCTTAATAATAGTAACCGGGTCCTAGAGATTCTCAATATCACTGACCATCCTCCATCGGTCATGGTTTCAGCTCACGCAATCTTTTCTTGCAGCCAGAACTATCTCGAGAGTATGGTCTCAATGAGTGTAGCATCGAGTATCTACTAGTTCCTAGCTCTACACCGAGACCGGCTATCTCACTACTTCCTATGGCCAAGTTGGTCAATTATAGGTTTTAAGGTCAGTTAATGCTTAACGACCCATATAGAAGCCCCGTATTCTTGTCGTTTATCCACAAGGGGTACCGGTACTAACCAATGCGCCACATCAACGTAGCTACTGCTTCAACCGTATCGGTCTACGCCGTACAGTTCCCCTACAGTTTATTGCTACTTACCTAAAAGGTGTACCCCAGATCCGGGTTAGGATCTATAGTAACTCCCGATACAAAGCCCTTAAAGATAAAACAATCAAATCAAACAATAAAAGAAAAATATGATGAACTAATCCTAAGGTATACACCACTTATTAATTCCCCAGCAGAGTCGCCAGTTCTGTGATACGGTGGCCAGAACCGGACTATTTTGAAATGCTGGTTTGCGTTTTGCGTTTGTGTTTGCAAAATGTCGCGGTAAGAAAGAGTCGCCACCGACTTTTATTTTATCCAACTGGAAAGGAAAAAAGCACAGAAAAATTCCCTTTTTCGAGATTTTGAGTACAAGGGGTAGATTATAGAAAGGGAAGGTATTAGCACCCTTTCTATCCGTGGTTTTCCACGGGCTCTTAGGTACTTGCTCATCATTTTCAAAATTGCTTGTGTGTGTTTGATTTGAAAAGTTTTGTTTTACTTTGATTTAACCCTTGCTTCTGTCTTCAAGAGCGTTACGAAGTCGTTTTGAAAACTTTGTTTGAAAAGAGTGTAAGTGTAGAAAAGTTGGTTTGTTTGAGCAAGTACTTAAGAACTAATCTACCTACTCGAAAAAGAGAATGTTTCTGTTCTTGTTTCCTTTAGACAGTGCTATCCCACTATTAGTGAGTAGGTAGCACCGTCGTTGGAGTTTTAAGGGTCAATTCGAAAGAGACGTACGATCACTAAAGCAATGCTAGGACGTCTTAGTAATAACCCTAATGTCTTAAGATCAATATTCGATGCAACAATATCCGAGGCAACCATTCTGAGGCAACTTTTCTGAACGGGACTTTGATCTTTGTTTAGACAAGAGAGCGACCACTAAAATATCCTATACTTAATGACCGTTTACCGAAGGCAACCGAAGTGAGAGTATACCCTAGGAGTGTGCATGTGCGAGTGATTCAATTTCAAATTATTATCTTTTCACATTTAGGGTTTGCTAACCGTTTTAAGGTTAATCGTACATTCTTGTCATGCAACCCTAATACCATACATCTAACAGTTTAATGTTTTGTGGAAATTAAAGTGCGGAAAGTAAAACTACACTATTACAAGGCTTCAGGTATTAATTTACATAGCCAAAAACAACCCGTAAAAAAATGATAAATGAACGAAAAGGTCCTAATTAATCTATTACATCCCATGAGCAATTACATCAATATTGTAAAATAAAATAATAAAGCGCGCGCGATGAATTAAGAACGATGGGAGATTAGGGTTTTGACCCCGCCTAACCTAATTACAAGGAAAAATTATTTTTGTTGTTTTTTAATTATTTTTTAAAGATAAAGAATAAAGTTTTTAAATTAAATATGAAAACCTAATTACTAATTAAGTTAATTTAATGAAAATAATTTACATGGCCTATTTTTGTATTTTTGGTTATTTTTAAGAAAAAAGAAAATAAAATTAAGTTAGAAACAAAAACCCTAATTTTTCTAATTAACTTTAATTTATTTACAAAATAACTAAAGTTACCCTAAAATAAAATAAACTAATTAAATTAATTTTTGTATAAAAAAATAAATCCTAAATCTAATTGGATGAAAACATTATTTTTGTGATTTTATTAAAAAAAGATTAATTTTGATGTTAGTAAAAATAAATAAATAAATAAATTAAAGAAATATAAAAGAAAAGGAAAAGAAAGTTGGGCCTGCTTGTAAGTAATTTTGGGAGTGTGGATAGCAATTCTGGGCCCAAGACAATAGACCCACGTTGACCTTCCATGTTCCAGTGCTATGCGTTGACTGAGCTTTTGGTGAACCCTCATGCAATGGCCTTCAGATCTGGATGGTTAGGAGATGATGATCCATGGTGGTCTTCATGCCTTGTGTGCTTGCCTGATTATCTGAATAAAACTAATATGAAATAATGGGGGGACCTGGGATTCAAACCCAGGTCCTGTGGCCTTCTCCACTCGCCTCCACACAAACTGAGCTACATGCGCGCGTTGTATATGAAACAATAACAAACAATAATATGTAATAAAAGGAGTTAGTGAAGAAAAATAAAAAAATGCACCAGAATTCAAATGGACGAATGAGACGGAGCCACGCGTGTCGTCCCTGTCCTCTCTCCGTTGGTAAAAGTCATAAACTTTTACCTACGGACAAATGTCCGTCACTACAAACCTGACTTGTTTCAAAATCTCCCATGGGCATGATAAATGGAGTCTAAGGCCATGAATCAAACCGTCTTGGGCTGCTGAGCATTAGGATGCCCTTCTTGTGGGCCAATTTCACCTGTACACAAAGACCCTAAAACGAGACCAGAAACCCTAATAATGGCAAATCCTGATATAGTCCACAAAAATGCAATTGAATGTTATAGATAGCTTGCAAATGTTTCAAGGAGCAAGAATATATAAGTATTTCATGCTATAGATGCCAAAATCATGCAATTCGATTTCAAGAACAAGCCAAAGTCGTGAACCACTTACATTGGGTTTTAGCGTAGGAAAATCCTTATTCTTGATTGGTATAGGTCCCTTGAGTGCTCCGGAAGCGAAAGGGATACTTGGAAAGGTTTGAAAGTACCTGCAAATACGAAAACAGATCACCACTTTCTTTGATTTTTTTCAAGTTTTGTTCTGCCTCTCTACGCCTCCAAAGCTTGTGTTTTAGGTCTGCCAATGTTCACTATATACCAAGGATTGAATTAGGGTTGAAATTATGCTCTCAATCTTTATCAATCATGGCTTTTGATTTTGATTTGATTCACTTTAAAATCTTTCCAAAATAGGCCAAAATCAATCTTTTTGTTCCCACCTATGCCTTGCACGAATTGATTCACTTGCTAGCTGGATATAGGACCTGAAATAAGCACAAGATCTTGAGGTTTCAATGATTTGGATATTTTCATGATTTGTTTTGATTTAAATTGATTTAATTCAAATAAAAATCAAAATAAATAGAAAAAAATAAGATAAAGACAAATGGGAAGAGCTAGGGCTCGTGTACCATGTTACCTACTCAAAACAAGTGCAAAAGATTGGGCCCATTTAACAAAAATTGCAATTTGAGGCATAGTTGACTTTTGACAATTTTGCAAAAAGGGTCAACTTCACCAATGCATAACTTCCTCAATTTTGACTCTTTGAAGGTATTCTATGACTTTTTAGAAAGCTTGAGATGTCCTCTAAGCAACCCTTTTGGTATCACCTCAATTTGGTATTCCATGTTCATGTATGAAGCTTTGACAAAAAAGGTGTTTTTGTTGACTTTTCAAAATGACCTATAATGTCCAAATTCATAACTTCTTGTGAGTGCATATTTTGAACTTGGAAGATGAAGATGGATTGTAGGGAATTGCATCCTATTCAAAATGAGCTTTGGATGGGTCATTTCTCATTAAGTATGAGAAAGTTATGCTTGGTCAAAGTTGAGTTGACTTTTCCTACAAAACCCTAATTTAGCAACTTTTGGGTTTTGATGAATTGCGAGCAACCCTTGGGGAATCATGATCAAACCTTGATAAAATGATGAATAATACTTAAAAATGAGAATGTTTACCAAAAATCTTGAATTTTGACTGTATGTAGGCCACATTTGACTTTTGCCCTAGCACAGTCGATTTTCAGGCCTTTGAGCAATTGACTGAGCAAACTTTCTCTGTAGGGCTTGAAACTTGACATAGGTGATATTGAGAACATATTAGGACAATAGTGAGCATTTTGGATCCCTTGGACTCAAGTATCTTGATGCAACACGAAACCCTAATTTGAGGTAGACTGCCTTAGGAGAGAGTTTGTCTGGTCAACCCTTGGACTTCCTTGAGCAATTTGAGGATCTATCTTGGAATGTTTTAAGAAATATGGGAGGGAAAATTTTGGGGTACAACACCTTACAATGCCCCAGCTGGTAATGGTAAACAGAAAGTTGTTTAGGGTCAGAGAACTAGTGGGGGAGATGCTTCTGCTAGTGTGGTTTGTTTCAAATGTGGAAAACCTGGGCATAAGAGTAACGTGTGTACTGCTGAGGTAAAGAGGTGTTTCCGTTGTGATAAGACGAGACATGTTATATCTGAGTGCAAGCATAAAGAGATGATTCGCTTCAATTATGGTGAAGAAGAACACATTGGTAGTCAGTGTCAGAAACTAAAGAAGGCGCAAACCAATGGAAAGGTGTTCGCTTTGGCTGAGAATCAGACGACTAATAAGGACAAACTCATCAGAGGTACATGTTTCATTAATAGTACTCCTTTAATTACTATTATTGATATCGGTGTTAATAATTGCTTTAGTGTTGATGTCTGTGTTGAAAGATTGGGTCTTATATTGTCTTCTTTAAATGGAGAAATGGTCGTCGATATTCCATCTAAGGGATCAGTAACTACTTCTCTTGTGTGTTTAAAGTTTCCTTTGTCGATCTTCGACAGAGACTTTGATGTTGATTTAGTTTGTTTGCCTTTAAGTGGGTTGGACGGGATCTTAGGTATGAACTGGTTAGAGTATAACTATGTTCATATTAACATTTATAACAAGTTAGTGAGGTTTTCTACTCCCGAAGAAGAAGAAACTGGTTTATTTTCTGCTAGACAGTTGAAGCAGTTGATGCAAGAAGAGGTTCATATGTTTTCGTTGATGGCGTTGCTATCTGTCGAGAATCAAGCTATGATTGAGGGATTGCAAGTGGTGCATGAATTTCCTGAAGTTTTCCCTGATGAAATTCTTGATGTACCTCCAGAGAGAGAAGTTGAATTTGCTATTGATCTTGTACCTGATATCAGACCTGCTTCTATGGAACCATACATAATGTATGCATCTGAATTGTCAGAATTAAAGAAGCAATTGGAAGAGTTACTTGAAAAGAAGTTCGCGAGACCAAGTGTATCATCGTGGGGAGCTCCAGTGTTGCTAGTAAATAAGAAAGATGGAAGTATGAGGCTTTGTGTTGATTATAGACAATTGAATAAAGTGGCGATTAAGAACAACTATCCGCTTCCGAGAATAGACGACTTGATGGATCAATTGGTGGGTGCTCGTGTGTTTAGAAATATTTATTTGAGGTTGGGTTATCATCAGATTAAAGTGAAGAATGAAGATATCCAGAAGACGGCTTTCAGAACGCGTTATGGACACTATGAGTATTCGATGATGCCTTTCGGTATTACTAATGCGTAGGGAGTATTCATGGAGTACATGAATCATATCTTTCATACTTATTTGTATCGGTTCGTAGTGGTGTTCATTGATTACATTTTGATTTACTCTAAATTGGAAGAAGAGTATGCAGAACACTTAAGAATAATATTGCAAGTTTTGAAAGAGAATAAGTTGTATGCAAAGTTGTCTAAGTGTGAATTTTGGTTAAAGAAGATTAGTTTTCTTGGCTATGTCATCTCAGGTAGTGGCATTGCTGTAGATACATCTAAAGTAGATGTTGTGTTGGAATGGGTGTGATACGGTGGCCAGAACTGACTGTTTAATACTGGTTTGCAATTTGTATTCGCAAATGTTGCGGTAAGCAAGAGTCGCCATCGACTTTTATTTTATCCAACAAGGAAAGGAAAAAAGCACAGAAAAATTCCTTTTTCGAGATATTTCTGAGTACGGGGGGTAGATTATAGAAAGGGAAGGTAGTAGCACCCTTTATATCCGTAGTTATCTACGGGCTCTTAGGTACTTGCTCATCATTTTCAAAATTGCTTCTCTATGTTTGTGTGCTTTGAAAAGTTTTTGTTTTGACTTCGATTTAACTCTTGCTTCTGTCTTCAAGAGTGTAATGAAGTGTTTTTGAAAACTTTGTTTATAAAGGAGTGTAAGTGTGAAAAAATTTATTATGGATTGAGCAAGTACTTAAGAGCTAATCTAACTACACGAAAAAAGAATTGTTCTATGTTTGTTTCCTTTAGACAACGCTATCCCACTATTAGTGAGTAGGTAGCATCTCTGTTGGAGTTTTGAGGGTCAATTCGAAAGGGACGTACGGTCACTAAAGCAATATTAGGACGTCTTAGTAATAACCCTAATGTCTTAGATCAATTATTCGAGGCAACAATTCTGAGGTAACCATTCCGAGGCAACTTTTCCGAATCGGGACTTTGATCTTTGTTTAGACAAAAGGACGACCACTAAAGCATCCTATACTCAATGACTGTTTACCAAAGGCAACCAAGTGGAAGTGTACCCTAGGAGTACGCATGTGCGAGTGATTCAATTTCAGATTATTTATCTTTGCACATTTAGGGTTATCTAACCGTTTTAAAATTAATCATACATTCTTGTCATGCATCCTAATATCATACATCTAACAGTTTTTATTTTGCGGAATTTAAAATGCGGAAATTAAACTACGCTATTACAAGGCTTCGGGTATTTACATAGCCAAAAACAAACCCTTAAAGAAATAAAGCGATAAATGAAAATAAAAAGTCCTAATTTGAACTATTACAACTTATGAGCAGATACAATAATTGGGTAAAAATAAAATAATAAAGCGCGCGAGAAAAATTAGATCGAGAGCGAACTAGGGTTTTGACCCTTCTAACCTAATCAAAAGAGAAAATGTTTTTTGTTGTTTAATATTTTTTGAGAAAAGAATTTAGGTTTTTAAAATTAAAATACAAAAATTAATTAGTTAATTAAATTAATTAATGAAAATAATTACATGGCCTATTTTGTGGTTTTTGGTTATTTTTTAAAAAAGGAAATATAATTAAGTTAGAAAAAAAAACCTATTTGTTCTAATTATTTTTAATTATTTACAAAAAGAATTAAAGTCATCTAAATTAATCAACCTAATTAATTAATTTAATTTTTTGTATACAAAATAAAATCTAAACCTAATTTGTGAAAAGTATTATTTTTATAATTTTTTAATAAAAAGAAAATAATTGGTTGGTGTTGTACCCCAAAATTTTCCCTCTCATTTCATCATTATTTTCTCACCACAAGACCCTTGGAGCTCAAGATCAAATTAGGGTTTGCTCTACTCAAGACTCCTCCTTGCACTGTTGACCCAAATTAGGGTTTGAGTTTGCACAAGGATGTTTTAACCTAAAATGTCCAAAGTGACTTTCGTGCTTCATGTTGGACTCACAAGTATATCCATACCAAGTTTCAAGTCTTGATTCCAATCTTTGCCCAGTCAATTGGACAGTTGACCTAGAAATCAGCTGTATTGGGAGAAAACTCAACTGTGGCCAATTGACAGTCAAAACTAATGACTTTTGACCCACATCAACATGATGAACTCATATGAACCATTTGGTCAAGTTTGGATCACAATTCCACAAGAAATTTGATCAGATCACCAAAAGGGCAAAATGGTCATTTTTAGGGTTTTGACTGCACAAAGGCAATTTTTGACTGTTTGACCTAACTAATGGAAAACCAAGCTCATGTATGGACTCAAGGACTCAATGGCATTGTCTTGATCCATTCAACAAGTTCAAAAGATCCCAAATGCACAAGATTGACAGATGAATTGTCCAGTCAACTGATCAAAATTTGACTGTATACTGAAAAGTCAAACTTTGACTTTTTGGTCAAAATCAAGTGCCAAGATTCATTTTTCATCAAGACATGTCAAATTATGAAACTTGTTCATCAAGAAACCCAAAATTGCAAATTAGGGTTTAGAATGAGAAAATTTCATAACTTAGAATTTTTCTAAGTTATGAAACTTCCTTATTTTTTCCTAACTTTGTTCCATTTTTTCATCAAGATACAATTGGATTCAAGCAAAACTCAAAACATTAAAGTTGTAGTCCATTGCAAAATCTACAACTTTGATTCACAAAGTTTCCTCAAAATAAGCTTGTAGCTCAAGTTATGATTTTTGGAACAAGGGTGCAAAACATTCTTAACTTAGAAAATTTTTGACGTATTCTAGGCAGGATTTTTGACCAACTTCATGGCCACTTTTCACATGCTTCCACTTGGAATTTCAATTTGCATTACAAATATGGATTGTAGTACACATTCCAAGATTTCCAAATTGTCCAAGAACTTCTCAAACACCCTTGTGGTTAGGGAGAATCGAATTGGCAAAGACGGGAAAAAGTCACTTTGTTCATAGCCAAATACATGTTCATACATTGGCATTTTTCAAGTCAACTTGCACAAGCTAGATTACAGGCCTCTAATCCTCTTCACACTCAATAATTAAATTCCAAATCATTGTGTTCAAGTATTATTTTGATCATTTGGTCATTACATGCAAGATTAATCCATAATTAGAAAAAGTAAGTTTGCCATTTTTGAAAAGGTACACTTTATGTCAAATAACAAATCCAAGAGGCATGGGCCAGATCTTTGAAGCTAGAATTTTGTACACAAATCACTCTGATCAAGAACAAGAGGTGCAACATAGTTTAGGGCATTAGACAGGCCTGTATAGAAACTTGCATTTTCTTACTTATCTTGGAAGAAACTTTGCAAAAGGACCAGAACTTGCATCTCCTGTCAAGGCATCCAAGAAAAAACTTTGTAGACACTTTCCATACACAAAAATAAGCCTAAAGCACGACCAAACTGCTCTTGATCCCTCTCATTCACAAAAACACAGTTTTGTTGCAAAACAGGGTACCTGCTGCAGTTTGATTTGGCCAGCTCAATCCACTCGTGCGCTTTGGCTAAAACCACTTCAAACACATTCTATATCATCCATACAAACTATCCCAAGCCCTAGATACAGACTGTAACACCCCTAACCAAGTTTGTCATTTTCACTTTTCAGCTGTGCAGGTTAACTTCCATAGCTCGATTCAGAGAGATTCAAAGCAAGCTGAGCATAGAGGAAGCATCCTAGGGCATCAGGCAAGCTGTACCAAAGTTCAAACTCCATTGAAGATACCTCCATTGATGTACACGACTCAAGCTGAACAGGTAAAAATTTGAAGTTCTATCTCTCTATCCAGGCATAGTTAGGCTTAAGTTTATGAAGAAAGCATGTCCTACTCATAGCCCTGAAGCCATCCATGTAGTTACTTTTCATTTATATTGTGTGTGCTATGAGAATTTTGGACCTGAACATGGAAGAAAACTTAGGTCAGAAATTGGGGATGGAGAAATTCTCCCTCGTTTCTGAGAGTTAGAACAACTTTTTTATATGTCTGAAATCGTGACTTGATGCTCTACTTTATTGATGTTGTAAGTTTTTGTTAAAAATCAAAGAATCAGTAGTTAATAGGATGAGCAAGGAACGCACGTTTTTTTTTGTTTCAAACAGAAGCTGGAGGAAGAAGATGATATATTGGGCTGGGCCTGAGCTATCCTTGCTTTTTGCACCTCTTTTCTCATTTTGCACCCCCTTGGCCCATTGTGTGATTTTTTTTAATCATTTTTGATTTTTTCTTTTTGATTCTGACTTATTATTTTTTGCTCAAATATTAAAAATATTAAAAATATTTTTTCACCCATTTTTACATTTATTTGACATTTATTTGTTTTATTTAGCTTATACATGTAAATAAATATATATATATATATATATACTTTTATTCAAAACCCTAGAAAATAATACAAAAAAAATATTTTTTAGTTATTATTTTTTATTTACATTTTGGAAACATTTTCTAAAAATATACTTTTTTTTTGTAAATAATTAATATTTCATTTTGTATATATTTAGTATATTTAATAAATAATATAAATACTTATACATATTTTATTAAATATTTAGGACAAAAATATGAAAATAATACATTTTTATTTTTATTAATATTTGACATCAAAAAATACTTTTTTACAATATACTTCTCTTTTATTTATTTATTTTTTATAAATAAAATACATAAATATTGTATATAATTAGTAAATAATTACTATTTATTAAAAAATAGGGGTTTGCCCTAAAAACACAAAAATACTCCAAATTGATCTTTTTCTATTTTGTTTATATTTCAAACATAAAAACTTTTACATACATAAAAAATCTCATTTTTTTGTGCATAATACATTTTGTATTTATATTTGTTTATTCAATATGGATGTAATAGTTTAGATTTATATTTCTTGCTAAATATCCCCCATTCAAACATTTGTACCCCCATCCCCATAATTATGTTGTAATAATTTAGGACTTTAAAATTCCGCATTTAAAAGCTTTCTAATTATGCCATGATAGACCTAGGGTTTATATGCAAAAATCAAATAATAAATAGCTTGACCTAATTCAAAGACAAAATGCATGAAAATGGACAACACAATGCACACTTACACCCTTAGGGTTACTCCACTTGTTGCCTTCAAAAATGGGCCATGCTTGCATGTTGAGTGTCTTTGGCCAAACAAAAACAAATCTAATGATCATAGTCCCTCGATGACGCTTTCTCAAGTTGCCTAAAAATGATCAAGTCCCCTAAAGGAAAAGTTGCCAAAGACACTTGGCACCATTGCATTCATGGTCTAAACGATGACCCGCGCCTGTCCCGTTAACATCCTAACATAAGATTGTCCACCAAATACAATGGTGGAACAATAATGTTAAAAGGGTTAAAACATAGAAAGAATCTTTGAGTAAATATAGGGGTAGACAACTCTTAGTTACTTGATCAAACTTGCAAAACAAAATCTTGCCTACTTTCAAAATACACTTCACAACACAATTTCAAAACAAACTTTCAAAACATTGAAAACTTTTCAAAAGACAAATACACCTTTGTATACATTCAAACATGGATCATTACAAAGGTTGCCAAAACCATGGCCTCTTTTTCAAAATATCTTTAAAAACACACACAAAGCACCATTTCAAACAATTGAAAATGCAATGCAAGTGATCTAAGCAAGTAACTAAGAGCCCATGGATAACCATGGATATAAAGGGTGCTAATACCTTCCCTTTCTATAATCTACTCCCCGAACCCAAGAAAACATCTCAAAGGTTTTTGCTGTGCTTTTTAACCTTTCCTTAGGATAAAATAAAAAGTCGATGGCGACTCTTGCTAAACCGAAACATTTGCAAATACAAACGCAAAACCTCAAGTCAGTTCTCCCACCGTATCACAGAACTGGCGACTCTGCTGAGGATATTTCTTAAAAGTGGAGTAACCTTAGGGCTTAGATCACCCTCTTGCATGACTAATTGTTAGCTTTGATTGCTTTATATTTTGGTTCTCTTGTTTGGGCTTGAAATCCTACACTCGGATTTGGGGAAACATTCATAGATAGCAATACGTTATGGAAACTATGCGGGGTATACCGACACGGTTGAAGCAATAGCTATATTAGTGCGACATATTTGTGAGTAGCGGTAACCCTTGAGTTCAATCAAGGAGAGTACGGGGCCGTTGAGTGATGTCACTAAGCACTAATGACCTAGAACCTTACTTGACCATCTTGGCCTTTTATTAGGGGTAGTGAGATGACCGGCTTTGGTGCAGTCCGAAGTTGGTAGATACTCGATACTACACTCATTGAGGGTTGTTTTCTTGGAATATTTTGGTCGCTAGTTAAGTGGCTAAACCAAAACAATGAACATGGAAAACAATCCAATGATATTGAGCTCCTTAGAACCCGGTTACTATTTATAGGACAGGTTTTTAAGCCAACTTCACTCAAGAGGGTACTTACCTATGAAACCTCATGCAAGCCTGAAACTAGGGTTTTGTGTGACTTGCTTGTACATATGTTTGTGCATACATCATGAACATCATAAAGCATCATATGCATCCACTAACTATTTCAAGGGTTTGGATCTTCATCTTTGTTCTTGTTTTGTAGGTCATGGAAATTCTTCGCAGGAAAACTATCCAAGTCAACCTTGTGAGAATCCCTCCTCAACTCAAGGAGCTTACATCCAGAATTCCAGAAAGCTCTCTCTTCAGTGAAATACATGGTAGACTGCTCAGCCTAGTCAACACCAACATTGAAGAGGACATGGTGAAAGTGTTGTTCCAATTCTTTGACCCCCTTCACCACTGTTTCACATTCCCCGACTACCAATTGGTGCATACTTTGGAGGAATTTTCTCAACTCCTGAGAATTCCTATTCTTAATCAACTACCCTACAACGGTACGGAAAAAGGACCAAAGCCTGAAGATGTTGCTCAAGCACTACACTTGCAACCATCTGACATCAAGGGGCATTGGGAGACTAGAAGTGGTGTCAAAGGCTTCTTGGCAAAATTCTTGTTTGAGAAGGCACAAGAGTGTTGGAATTCCTTGGATCTACAAGCCTTTGAAGAGATTGTGGCACTCCTCATTTATGGGTTGGTCTTGTTCCCAAATCCTGACCAACTTATAGATGTCAATGCTGTCAAGATTTTCATGTCAAGGAATCCCATACCTACATTGCTTGGGGACATCCTCCACTCATTTTACACACGAACAATGAGGAAGAGAGGTGTTCTCATGTGCTGTACTCCTCTCCTTGCAAGGTGGTTTATTTCGCACCTTCCACAATCTGTTTTGAAGAATGACCAAGGCTTAAGGTGATCACAACGGTTGATGACCCTCACACATTCTGATGTACATTGGTGTTCTCGGTCCAGAGAAAATGTCATCATCGTCGATCATTGTGGTGAGTTCCCTAATGTTCCATTACTTGGCATTAGGGGAGGCATTACCTACAACCCTTATCTAGCTTTGAGACAATTTGGA